ACTCCAATTTCCATTACTATAATCATATACATGAGTAATATGCACAACAAAAATTTGAACTAATTCGCATCAGTATTTCTCATGTTATAGATGAAATAATTTTCTCAATTTCTGACAACAGATTCTATGATGTCATACTTTACCCCATAATCCTTTGCTTGAGAATCAAGATGGCTGACTACTTAATAACGATGAAAAGTTGAATATCTAGAGAATGAAAACTGATATAAAAAAGTGTAAATTGCATTCTCCTACATTTGTGGAGCTTTTTCTTTAGGGGTCATTATGTTGTTTGGATTGAGGTTCCCTTTAAAATTCACGGAACAGGGGAGGGAAGGGGTGTAAACGTAAGCCGCGGCTGTACTCGTATACTGTATTTGACGTGATGTTGATATCGCGCCCTCGCCGTCGGCCGCTAGAAGTCGCCTAAGTGGAACTCTAATTTTACGGGCATCATTCTGATTGGCATTCAGAAGTCACAACGCTAAAAAACACATTATGTGAAAATAACATGCTATAGACATGTCTAGGTCATATAAATATATATAATGTACAGAAAATATTGGAGATACTTTATACATACGACGAATGTTTATTTTCAGGAACGATTAATCGACTTAGAAACAGCAGAAGATTTCGTCGAGGCAGCCTTAGAATTGTACCCACGCGAGAAAGAATATTACGGAGAGGAACAAGATTATCAAGATGAAGATTGACCGCTGAACCAGTACCTTCTATATTTCACTTACTCTCGTGCTTTGTAAACAAGCCGTTCAATTTACAGTATATAGAGGGTGCATGTCAGTATCACGTGACAATCAACTGAACAGTGTTCATTGTGTTGGTTACGATGTGGATAATAGAATTTCGGATTATACTATTACGGTAAAGCCTCATTTCCAGGCGGATCAGTTATATTGCTAGATTGCGAAAATCTCATCTAAAGCGGGGGAGTCGTCACCTGCGCATGCGTAAGATGCCCATAGCGTGCCATTGTTTACAAACAAGCGTCTACCCATGAACCTTTGCGTTTTAGCGCGTGTTATCGTCGCTTGGGACTCAATTACCGCGCGTGCGCAGGTAACGACCCCCCCTTTAAATTCTTTGTATTAGTCGGGAGTAAACAAATCCATCAGGTTTGAAGGCCTACTCTGGGGCAGACATGTGCCACAGAGCCTTCAAAAGCGTGTGCATTTGTATACCAATGTTTTGACAGAATGCATTCCCATATTTTACTAAAGTACAATTTCTTTTTAAACTCTAGTTTATACCAAATACAACTGGCGCTGAGTTTTCTCAACTCTGCACGCAAAATAGCATGTAGCTATTGAGTTGTGACCTTTATGTAATAATTATACCAATTTGGAGGGGAAATAGGACCCATATTTATATCTACATTCTTGAAAACAGCTCATTTCATTATAGATAATTTCTATATAGTGAGCGGGCTCTGGCTACAAAATTTTAAGGTATGGTTGGGTGAAGGAAACAGTTTCTGCAATTTATCTGAAATGGTCTGACCAATAAAATCACTTGATACGTTAACTACATTGTCCATTACACATATCTACGTCATTTTATAGTTTCAACAAAATTGGCAGGCGGTCTTGTCCAGATGGAGCAAAAAAGTGCAAGCGGACCAACTTCAGGAAATCTAGTTATAAAACTGACCAAGAACACTATCTGGTTTTGATGACTGTGCCATGGTAACTGGACGGTTTTTCTAGGGATGGTCCAATTCGCATATTCTAATCTGGTGGACTGCATTCAATCGTATCTTTTATACAACTAATTGGCAAACATCTGAGAAAATTACTGGAAAAGATCTCGTGGAATGGAAGTTACAGTGCTAATCTTTTATGCAAAATACAAGTCAATCTTTATTCATGAAACAAATTACGAAACAATTCAAAGTCAGTACTGTGAGTAAAAGTACGTACAACACTTACAAATACCGGTATTTACACGAAAATAAAACAAAACTATTGATAAAAGTATTTACTAAATATATACATCACATTACATGTAGGACTAAGACAAGATTTTTTTTTTTTTTTTTTAGAAAATAAAAATATTTGCATTTATGTATTTAAATATATACTCTAGAAAAGAAAAATGTTATAAATAAAGATGTCAGTAAATATACGCTTATAATATTCATTATCCGAGTATTTCATTGAGCGAGGCTACTGGTATCATGCGTTACGAGATTTGAGTCTTCGGCGTCCATTTGCTGATCGATCTTTGAAAGCACTTGATGCAAGTACCGAAGCTCTGGCTAACCAGTCCTCTCCTTCAGATTTCAGACCAGATGGCTGTCGTTTAGTTGGTCTTCTGAGGGGACCTGTCCAATTAACAAAAAAATCAAAAAACATTCGAATATTATTCCAAGCATTTGCAAAGTGGCTTGTAACGCTAACCAACTTGAGCAGGTTGAGTTTCTTATTTTCACGAGACGTTTGTTTAGCCACACAAATTAGGTTAAGACTATTATGGGATGGGATGGCTATATATATCCCAAATGGTACATTCTCTTGTATCTCGCATTGTAATAAGTATAACGTGGGCAACGAGATTGTGTCCATGGAAACAGTTTACGTCCATTTGGTGAAATTTGAAATTAAGTGGAAAAGTTGCCAACTTCTTATTGAGAATTCGAATTTTATGTCAACTTTCTGGTTACTATTCATATCAGAATACAATCTAGGTTCTGCTATTTGTAATTCGAAGACATCGCTTCTATCTAACATCTGACTACATATGCAAATTAGGTCAAACATCTCTGATCTGCAGTCAATTTGAACTAGTTATAGAATGCAACCAGGAAGGAGAGATCAATTTGGTTGACAAATCGCAGCAGACGAGAGCTGCCGAACACTGTATACATTGATAGTTTGCCAGATGTCATTTGGGCACAGTGGCTGATATACAGCGGTAACTGTAGATGGAAACACAACCACCTACATTAGATTAAT